AATGGTCTTTTCAATCAGTGGTTGTATATCAGCTGAATGTAAAGAGAAGCGAAAGTCACTCAGTCATGTCTGACTCTTTGAGACCCCATGGACTGTATAGTCCATGGCCAGAATTCTCCAGGCCAGAATACTGGAGTGGGTAGCCATTCCCTTATCCAGGGGCTCTTCCCAACCCAGGTCTCCCACACTGCACACAGATTCTTTACCAGCTGAGCCACGGGGAAGCCCAGGAATACTGGAGTGGGTAGCCTATCCCTTCTCCAGCAGATCTTCCTGACCCAGGAATTGAACCAGGGTCTCCTGCATTGCAGGTGTGTTCTTTACCAGTTGAGCTACCAGGGAAGCCCTATAATGAGAAAGTGAATCTTAATTCCTACTTTACACCATACTCAAAAATGAATTTGAAGTGGAACATAGATCTAAATGTGAAATGTAAAACAATGAAGCTTCTGAAAGATAAAACAGAATATCTTCAAAACCTTGGGATAGGCAGTTTCTTACATAGGATCAAAAGAGCACTAATCATAAAATAAAAGATAGATAAATGGGTTCACACTAAAATTAAGACATTCTGTCTGCCAAAATACACTATTTTAGAAGAAAACCTATAACATTTATAGCAAAGTAATAAGTAATACCTATATCAGTTCAGTTCAGTCGCTCAGTTGTGTCCGACTCTTTGCGACCCCATGAATCGAATCACAGCACATCAGGCCTCCCTGTCCATCACCAACTCCCAGTTTACTCAAACTCATGCCCATCAAGTCGGTGATGCCATCCAGCCATCTCATCCTCTGTCGTCCCCTTCTCCTCGTGCCCCCAATTCCTCCCAGCATCAGGGTCTTTTCCAATGAGTCAACTCTTTGCATTAGGTGGCCAAAGTATTGGAGTTTCAGCTTCAGCATCAGTCCTTCCAATGAACACCCAGGACTGATCTCCTTTAGGATGGACTGGTTGGATCTCCTTGCAGTCCAAGGGATTCTCAAGAGTCTTCTTCAACACCACAGTTCAAAAGCATCAATTTTTCAGCGCTCAGCTTTCTTCACAGTCCAACTCTCACATCCATACATGACCACTGGAAAAACCATAGCCTTGACTAGATGGACCTTTGTTGGCAAAGTAATGGCTCTGCTTTTTAATATGCTGTCTAGGTTGGTCATAACTTTCCTTCCAAGGAGCAAGCATCTTTTAATTTCATGGCTGCAGTCACCATCCACAGTGATTTTGGAACCCAAAAAAATAAAGTCTGACACTGTTTCCACTGTCTTCCCATCTATTTCCCATGAGGTGATGGGACCAGATGCCATGATCTTAGTTTTCTGAATGTTAAGCTTTAAGCCAATTTTTTCACTCTCCTCTTTCACTTTCATCAAGAGGCTTTTTAGTTCTTCTTCACTTTCTGCCATAAGGGTAGTGTCATCTGTGTATCTGAGGTTATTGATATTTCTCCCGGCAATCTTGATTCCAGCTTGTGCTTCTTCCAGCCCAGCGCTTCTCATGATGTACTCTGCATATAAGTTAAATAAGCAGGGTGACAATATACAACCTTGATGTACTCCTTTTCCTATTTGGAACCAGTCTGTTGTTCCATGTCCAGTTCTAACTGTTGCTTCCTGACCTGCATACAGGTTTCTCAAGAGGCAGGTCAGGTGGTCTGGTATTCCCATCTCTTTCAGAATTTTCCACAATTTTTTGTGATCCACACAGTCGAAGGCTTTGACATAGTCAATAAAGCAGAAATAGATGTTTTTCTGGAACTCTCTTGCTTTTTTGATGATCCAGCAGATGTTGGCAATTTGATCTCTGGTTCCTCTGCCTTTTCTAAAACCAGCTTGAACATCTGGAAGTTCTCAGTTCACGTATTACTGAAGCCTGGCTTGGAGAATTTTGAGCATTACTTTACTAGCGTGTGAGATGAGTGCAATTGTGTGGTTAGCTTGAGCATTCTTTGGGATTGCCCTTCTTAGGGATTGGAATGAAAACTGACCTTTTCCAGTCCTGTGGCCACTGCTGAGTTTTCTAAATTTGCTGGCATGGTCAGTGCAGCACTTTAACAGCATCATCTTTCAGGATTTGAAACAGCTCAACTGGAATTCCATCACATCCACTAGCTTTGTTCATAGTGATGCTTCCTAAGGCCCACTTGACTTCACATTCTAGGATGTCTGGCTCTAGGTGAGTGATCACACCATTGTGATTATCTGGGTTGTGAAGATCTTTTTTGTACAGTTCTTCTGTGTATTCTTGCCACCTCTTCTTAATATCTTCTGCTTCTGTTAGGTCCATACCATTTCTGTCCTTTATCGAATCCATCTTTGCCTGAAATTAGTGTAGATATAGAGCAACTGGAATTCTTAGCCACTGCTGGAGGTAAAAATTGATGCAGCCACTTTGGAAAACTGCCAGTATATACATCTACCTACGACCCAGCAATTTCACCCCTGGGTTAAACTGAAGAGAACTGGATGCACAGGTGTACAAGAGATACATAAAAATATGTGTGCATGTGTGCTAGATCACTCCTGTCATGTCCAACTCTTTGCAACCATATGGACTGTAGCCCATCAGGCTTCTCTGTCCATAGGATTTTCCAGGCAAGAATACTGGAATGGGTTGTCATGCCCTTCTCCAGGGGATCTTCCTAACCCATGAAAGTCTTTTACATCTCCTGCATGGGCAGGCAGGTTCTTTACCACTAGTGTCACCTGGGAAGCCCCCACACAAAAATATTCCTAACAGCAGTATTCATAATAGCTCCCAATGGAAACAAAGCTAATGTCCATTAATAGAAGATTGGGGACTGCCCTGGTGATCTAATGGCTAAGACTCCAAGCTACCAATGCAGGGGCCCAGGTTCAATCCCTGATCAGAGAACTGGATCCCACATGTCACAAATAAAAGATCTCCTGCCACAACTAAAATCCCACATGCCACAATTCAGACGCAGTGCAGATTAAAAAATAAAAATAGAAAATTGGATAATTAAATTGTGGGGCAGTCATACCGTGGAGTATTACACAGCAATGAAAGTGAACAAACTACTGCGGTATTCAATGACAGAGATGATGTCACAACATAATATGGTCTGAAAGAATCCAGGCATAAAAGAATATATACTCTGTTTCTATTGATGTAAAATTAAAAACAGGAAAAACTAAACCACGGTCTAAAAGCCTGAATTGTGGTTTCCTTTGGAGGAAAAGAGAAGGCCTGGCGACTGGGATCCATAGAGGTCCTTGAAGAGTGCTGGTAGGGTTCTAGTTCTTGACCCAGTGATTTCACAAGTGTCTCCTCTGTAAAAACTCCCCTAGCTGTAAACTTCTACATTGTGCATGTCTGTACACAGGTTATACCTCCATTAATGGTTTACTTAATGACATTATGTAGCCAGGAAGAATCAGTTAATCAGTAAACAGGGCATTTCCAGGTGTTGAAAACTTACCATGCTTTCTTGGCAAAGCCAGCATCGTGCCTTTCTCTGAAATTCAGCTGCTTGTGTGTTCTTCTCTCAATATTTTACTTTTCTCAAGCAAACTGGCTAATAGCTGGGTAAATTACTAAGTAAGTTTTGACCCATGGTTTATTACCAAAGATTTGGTGTCAGCTAATCAACACACTAACACAAAAAACTCGGGTCATTTCCACTTCTGGAGGCTTTGGTTCTTCCTGCAGAGCAGAAAACCTCCTCTCTTCTTGGTTTCTTTTGTTTTTTAAATCTTTAAGCTTTAAGCCCGGTTGGACTGTGCAGATTCTTCTGAGCGCTGAGACTCTGATTAGAGATCAAACATCCCGTCTCTTACTTGGGACTCCTCTACACGGTCTGCTTATACAGAGGGCAAGCATCTTTTAATTCATCCCGGTTTTTTAAATGCAGAAGTTTTAATAAGGAAAGTTAAACAAGAAGAAGTGATCATGAAATGGTTTCATTTAAAACTTGTCTATACTCTATATCCTTCCTCTCCTCCCTGTCCATCATATCATTTGAAAAATAAGAACAAAGTTTCAGAAATTATAATACCTTATTTCAAGACTCAGAAAGCTGTAGTAATCAGGACAGTGTTGTATTAGTGGGAAGATAGCCAAATGAAGACTTCCCTGGTGGTCCAGTGGTTAAGAATCCACCTTCCAATGCAGGGCACATGGGTTCAATCCCTAGTCAGGGAACTAAGATCCCACATGCTGCAGGGCGACTAAGTCTGCGTGCCACAGCTAGAGAGCCCACACACCCCAAGGCTGAGCTCGGGAGCCACGGAGCCACGTGCAGCCAGTGGAGAAAGCCTGTGTGGCAGTGAGAGCTGGTGTTGCGGCCACAAGCAGGGGCTGCAGCAAACCCCCACCGCTGAGGCCCGCCACAACCAACCAAACAATAAACTGCCCGGAAAAGACCACACCAACTGATTGATGGATTTTCTTTCTTTATTTTTCACCTTAAAAAAAAAATTGGAATATAGTTGCTTTACAATGTTGTGTTAGTTTCTGCTCTACAATATTATGAATCAGCCGTATGTGTACATATTATTTAGAGACATGGATCAGCTCACAGTGGCTGTCTGAGAAAGGACTGGAAATTACTGGTCTTAACATGTGTAGAGTTAATCATGTAAAGGAACTCTGATATAGATAGAAACTTTTTAATATGCATTCTAACCTATCAGTCTGCCCAACTGATGAAAAGACTGTGCCCACTCTTACCTCCACCATCCTGCTTGGCTCAGAACAGAAGTCTTCAAATGTATAAGTGGAGTCGTTTTAAGAGCAGCAGGCAGCTTTTGCTTGAAGAGCTCCAGTGGTTAATCTCTTGGGGATCCAAGCGTTGACATTTATATATTTAAAGTGTCCTTACACTGAGGAACACCTGTATTCTTTTCATGAGAGCCCAAAATGGACATATTTGAAAAAATGTGATGCTTTGAAGATAATCCACATTTTTTTCCTTCCAGCCAGGTGGGGAGTGTAGACCTGACGACCTATTAAGTCCATCTTTCTTGCTCCTTTTGCAGGTGGTCACTTCTTTCATCGGAACTCTCTGTCCCCTCGAAGCCTGGTATATGAAAGTGAATTCTCCACAATCGAACCGTCTTTGGACATGTATGATGAGAACAAAACCTGATTTTTTAAGTGGACTGTCACTTCCTTTTGATTTATGATCACCTTTCTTGTTTTGTATTCTTCTGTCAGTGTCCATTTTGGGAGAATGGCAGTGCTTTCCAGGCACAGGTTGGGGCTCAGGGTTACAAAGTCCCCCAAGGTGAGGCTTTGAGGGTAGCTTTATTGCCTGGGCGGCCTCACAGCACGGAAAACCTCCCCAAAGCTGGCCACTGAACATGGCCCCAAGAAGCCTGGCTGTTTCCAGAGAAGAGGCAGGGCCCGGGGGGTTAGGATTACTTTGCCAATGGGCTCTGAATAATCACATGCTGTTCTGTGTTGGGGTGATGCTGGGGTTTTTTAAATAACTTTTGTGCTCCCCACTTATAAAGCATACTAAAGCCTATAGGCGCTGCTTCTTACTGCTGCAGGGCACAAGTTGCTGCTTCGTGGACTGCTTTGCATTTTGCTCTCTCTTTACTTCCTGTTGAAGGGCCTCCTTCTAAAGTTTCCTAATAGAAAGCCTGGTCTTTTGTTCCTCCTCTGAAACTGACCCTGAGCGCTGCAGTGGAGCGGCAGGCTGAGCAGGGTGGGCAGCTGTTCGTGTTGTTGCTGGCCTCCCTAGTAGAGCATGGCGTAAGGTGACCAGTACTTCTGTGACCACTGAGACACGGAAGGTCCTGTTCCTGAGGCCGGTGGACCTGTCTTCTTGGCAACTGCTGAGGTGTATGGGGAGGTGATGCTCAGGAGGCCAGCTGGGCATGGTGCCCTCTGGGTGATGGCCAGTGGTTGTCAAAATCAAAAAGCTCAGAGTACTTTCTTGAGAAAAATCAACCGCCTCCTTGCTGTGAGATACCACATAAGCACCCCTCTTAAGTCTCTACCCACGAGCCCAGTCCCCTCCCGTCAGCCTCAGCTGAAGCACGAAGCAAGCCCAGGAGCTCACGGCTTTGCGGACATCAGAGACACACGTGTTCCTCCCACGTTCAAGTTAACATCTCAAGAAACATGCATCTCCAGAGTGCTCCCAACACAGAACCACAGTGAGCTAACTGATAGAACTGACTGCACATCCTTTTTGCTCAAGAACACACCATAGTTCAGCCTGTTTCTCCTATGGATGTGAGCTACATAGAGATGGACATGTAAACTCTCAGCTCCTTGTGTGAGACTGGGAACTTCAGCTCCATGTGCCTGGGATTTGATCTGGCAGCACGCCACGCAGACCTGCCGTGTTATTCGTATTGACTCTGTAGGACAGAGTTTGAGGGGAACACTTGCCATCTCTCCTGTGAAGCTGGCTTCTCCTGCTGTGATGTGTTGCTCAGATGCCTCAGACACTGTGGTGTCTGGGACGAAACCCCTCAGAGAACCAGGGTGTGACGTCACCTCCAAGTGACCAGCAGCATTTGAGGACGGGGCAGTGCAGAGTTAACAGCGCTTTCTTTTTACCTTTAACCAAGGGCTTTTATTTGGTTTTCCTTTGTACTCTAGTCTTTGCACTATAAAAATATTTTTGATAAACAGTTCCAAGAGAGCACTGTTTAGAAAGACAGGCTTGCCTCACTGGCTTTACAGTGAGAGAATATATATATCTCAAGGACAGTAGAACTTGGTCTATCAGAGGTTCCAGACATGCACCGGCGTTAGTGTTTGGTCTGGCCATCTTCCAGAGAAGGTGACTCAGTTCGGACCATGTTGTCACTACCATAGCCTTGTTTTCCTGAAACAGAACTTAGATCCCAGTGGAGCATCTGCTTCTGATTTGTGCATTATGAAAGCATGTATGTTAAATTTCACTCCAGACATTCCTTTACTGAAAAGAAATGAAATTACTTGAGAAGAAACTAAAAATTTAGACACCTAAAAGTCTGCCTATTCATATAATATTTGAATTTCTGGTAAATCTAGGGCACACATTCACTGTCAAATAACCAAAGAGGCACTTCTTACAAGGAAATTCTCTCAGAATAGTGCTTCAGATCCCAACTCAACATCCTTTCTTAAAACTCGGGGCCACTTTCATACTCAGCTATAGAATGCCCTGCTTTTGTCCGGAGAGACAGTAACTTCTCCGGGAAGGTCACATCTTCCAGGAATAGTGAGGGTGGCCCTTTTAGTCCCAAACAACACGTTGCCTCCTTGCTGGCAGCCGTGCCAAGGGGAAATCCTCTGCCCAGCCCCCACCCCACCCCCAGGGATCCTGGCAGAGGGCGGGACCCCTGGCTGCTTACAGAGAATGCACTTCTCACTGTAGGCAGTCCTGCCCCTGAGAAGCTTGAGGTTTGGAGAGCAGAGTGTCCTGGAAAGTTGGGGGTACAGAGGTGCTTCTGCCCTGTATGAGAACCTCAGTTTTTGCAGTCTTACAGCTGCAGTGGTTATTAGCCAGGAATGATATGATAATCTGATTGTTTTTTGTGGGTTTGGGGGGAAGGGGGCGGACAGTGCTATCTGAAGAGTGGGAGGGGTAGAGGAGTGAGCTTCTTACACCACAAAGCCTCTGACCCTTCAGCAGACTGCTCTGAGCTGAGCCTGGCTCCCCGGCTCCCTCTGGGCATGGCCTCCACCCTGTCTCCAGGCCCAACTGAGTGAAGCAGCAGCAGGCTCCAAGGACAAGTATGGAGCTGGGCCTGGAGCAGCCAGCTCCGCCAACTGATCTGTGAGGAACTGGGTTGCAAACGCTTACAGTTTGGTGGTTTTTAACTCCCCAAGGCGAGAACTGCCCATCGCCCTGCTTTCTTTTCAGGAAGGGGGCGGGAGAGAGCCGAGGCGGCTGGCCCAGTGGCAGCCAAGCTGCCCACAGTACAGGGCGTGGCCTGGTGGTCCAGGGCTGCCTGCCTCTGCCCCCTCAGGCTTTACCGCCCGGAGCTCCTCTTCACAAAGTCTGCTGAGTCCCACTTTTGAAGAAAGGCCTGGCCCAGGGGACTGTCATGATACACTTCCCCGAACAGCCTGATGTAGACTGATGCACCAATCGGAAGCTGACAGCCCAACTTCTGAAAGGTGGGGCTGCAAAGAGTTTAAGCAAAATAGAATAACTAAATTTGACTAACTTGATATTTACTGTGGACTTTATAAGCTCTTCTCATATTTTAATACCGCTCACATCCAGTTCTTTTCTTGACTTACGTGTTATACGAAACTGGTTTTAATTGAAAAAAATCAAAATGTTATCTTGCTCGCTGTTCACCTTTATCATCTGAGCAGTGATTCTGCTGTAGGAAAACAAGGAGATGGTTTGACAATGGTTGGCGCTCATAAACGTCATGAAACAAAAGCACCGTTTCCAGGAAGCAGCATTGAGAGGGAAAAGGTAGAAGTTCTCACTAGGTGCCAAACACATACATAGGGAGTTAAGGTGAATCCAGTGATCATTAGGCTGTTAAGAAAACTGGCACATGATCAGCCAGCTGAGATGTGAGCCCAAATGAAATGGTGGTGAATGATGAAGAGGTTTCAGGGCGTAGGTGCAGCTCGGGAACCCCACCAGCAGGACGTGTGGTTGCTGAGGATGCCATGCAGGCCAAGAGGCGCTGAGACCAGCAAGGCCTTGGGGTTCACCTCCTGCGGAGCGAGAGCTTGGCTGCGGGGAGGGCCCACACCTCAGCTTTGCAAAGAGGAGCTGGGGCGGGGTGAGCTGGGTAGGCCTGGAGTGCCTGGGTGCTGGGGTCTGGCTGAGAGTGGGAGAGGAGGGAGTCCTCAGATTGAAGCGGAAGCCTAGCGCTGGTCTCAGTGACCCAGTGGGGTTGATGGGACACAGGGGGGAGACACATGGGGACAGCTTAGATCTGAGGGCTGGCAGGACCTCTAGGGGAGGCACAAATACAGCCCTGTGTGGGGAGGCAAGGGTGGTCGGTGTGTGGCTCCACTGCACATCAGAATACTGGGAAGCTGTGTTAAATGGACACATTACCGAGAGCTACCAAAGTAGTCATCATGTCATTCAGTCCTCGGGTGCCCCAAACCTCTCCCTCCCCTCTTTCCCACACACACTCACTGGGGTTAGAGTCTCTGACAGTGGGTATAGACAGGCCTGGGGGTCCTAAGCTGATCTCAGATGGTGATGGAAGCCAGTATAGGGCGAAAATTGCCCACTGATTTGAGAACCAGGACAATGACATTTGAGGACAGAAGGGGCTACAGACAGCAACTGACTTAGAGAAAACCACTGAGCATAACTTCCCTATTCAAGAAGAGTGGTGAGAAAAGAAAAGCGGCACTCACTTAACTGCCGTGCCAGGAGAAGCCTCACTAATGCCCAGGGATTATTAAACTCAGAATTCACTCCCAACTCCACATATGGGGCAACTGCTATGACATCCACAGCTTAAAATAAGTGTCTTCCCTGTTAAAGGCAGTTGTTAAAAATGAGATGCATCGACTTTTGCCTTTTCTTTTGGCCTTGTTGGTAAATCACTCCAAAGTCCATTTGGAAAAGGATGAAATGAATGTCATGTTCATGGAGCATCCATGGATGTGGTTAAGATTCTTTTAGTAGGACTGGAGCATGCCTTAAAGATTTTAAGTTTTGTTACAGAGAAAATTCAGGAAAAAAGGCTACAGAGGTAAGGTGCCTGTGTTTCCTTCATGAAATTGTGCTTTTTTACTGTCCTACAAAGCAGCAGGAAAAACAAAGCATGCCAGTTCCCACAGCCAGAGGAGAAGGGTTTCTCCCACAAGAGGCCGTGTCCGCAGCTGGCCAGCCCCAGCACTCCTCCGGGGGTCAAGTCAGGAGGTTTGCCCTCTTTCTTAGGGGTGCTCTGAAAGATCCCCAAAGGTTGAACCTTGAAGAAGAGTCTAGTGGGTCTCCAGTGAACATGGGGTAAAAGCAGTCACCTGAATTCTCCTGAGCTGCATCCCACCAGCCTTCAGTGATCACGCAGAGAGGCAATGCCATCAGTCTCGAGTGCTAAAAGAACGATGTATTTGCCCAAGACTTGACTCTCATGGTCCCACAAGGCCCTGGGAGGCTCCCAGTTTATAACTTGGGGCTTAACTGGGGTTTTGCCTCTTGCAGTTTACAATAGCTCAAGCCATTTTTTTCTTCACTTTGACTTGCGGGAGAGAAAAATACTTTATGACAAACAGAAAACAAAGAAACTCTGAACTTCATGCAGACTTGAGTATTAATGTTTCAGAAGGATTTGGTGCTGTTGGACTCACTCAGACCTCTGTCCCAGGTTTCCTAGTTCCTCCCACTGAATCACCCACATGCATGTCCACAAAAAGACAAAGGTTTGAGGTGACACAGACCCGGTTCAGCAGCCTGAGAGAAGTAACTTTCTCAGAAACAGCAGGCCTGGGGAAGCACGGCCGGTGGCTCAGAGACAGCAGCCAGAGCATGCCTACTCGGGCCGAGGGCGGTGTCCAGCTCAGCTATAAGCACCTTTACAAACCACACACATTCTTCTTCTGTGGAAGGGCAAGAGCTGGAGGATGTCATCAGTATCCTTTTATCAGCTGAAGTGGGGTCTTGATCCGCCGGGACACAGCTCCTAGGATCACCCACTCATTTAATGCTGGCCTGAAATGACTTCTCACCAGTCTGCTATAGTCCACTTGGGCAGGACTGTGTGCAGGCAAGGGGCGTACTGGTCATCTGGGAAGTCTGACTAGCTTTCATGGGCTCCTTACCCCTCAGGTGATTATCACTCTCTCCAGCTCTTAGCAACTTAGAGCTATTAGCATCTGTGGAGAGTTACAGATGATTGTTCTGAGCTATTTTTACAAATTTAACCCAATACAAAGTGAATTCTAATTTGCTATAGGAATTATCCTTCATGCATAATTATGTCCAGGTATATTTATACTTGGAGAAGAAAATGGCAACCCATTCTAGTAGTCTTGCCTGGAGAATTCAATGAACAGAGGGGCCTGGCAGGCTACAGCCCATCGGGTAGCAAAGAGTTGGACATGACTGAGCATGCACACACATACACACATTTACACTATGTGATATTAAAGGAGTTTTCTAGTGACTGGGCAGTAGTGAGCCAAGATGTCTATGGAAACAGAAGCGGTGGAGTAGGTAGACTGTCACATCCCAGGCCATTTCTCTCCCAGATGAGTAAGCTGTTCCTGAGCAGAAAGACTCACTGCCTACTGCCTACCAGCTGCAGTGGGGATGACCAGGGCCAGAGTCCCAACTCCTCTGCCAGCCTGAGATGACACATGCCATCCTAGAGAGAAGTGAGAGGGTATCGTGCCCTTTCATCCCCTGGCAGCCCAGGCCTGTCTTGCTGACCCCGCTGGAGGAAGGGTACCCGGGCCCAATCTCAGGGCCGGAAGCTGGTGTCAGGCCCAGAGTGGAAAGCAGGGCCTGGCTCTGAGCGGTAGTGGCTCTAGCTAAGGAAACTCGACCCAGTGATTATAAAAACAGGAGAAGACTCCAAGCTAGGAGATGCTATTTGGAATATGGGGAACCCCATCATCAAATAGAACAATCCTGTTCCTAAACAAGAAAAGACGTTAGTCCAAGTCCTAGACCACATACGTCACCATTTTTTTTTTACCTTCAGTAGCTTTTATACTCATATTAAAGTTAGCGCTTTCATATTTCGGCCATTCAAAGAGCTCAGCATCTCTTCCTCTGAGTTTCTGCAAACTATGCACAGCATCTCAGAGGGTGGCATACAAAACTATTTTTCTAACTATAGCACAGGTAGTTTGGGGTGGGGGAGGCTGGGGATATACCTACATGTAGCCAATGACTTATTTTCCACCTGGAGGGATGAAAGGGAAACTGTACCTGAATTTAATTCACCACTGGATAGCTTGTACCAGAAAAAAACACATATCTAATATCCAAGAAGTAAAACTGATCATTAGCTTAATCTGGGGACTCCCTATAAGGAAGGGTCACTTTGTCTAGAACACAGATACCTACAAATACAATGTGAGCTGATTTCTTGGCAACCTTTAAAATGTTCTGGGCAGCACAACTCCTAGGTCTGTATGGTTGATGTAAGTATAATTAAGTAGTGAAACTGTATGGTATATACCTATATGCCAATAGTGCATACCTGTATGTGCAGGATTTGCTAATATAACCATTTCAATAAAAATTTACTGAAAAAGATTCACTGGCCACATGGAGTACTGTTGGTGGAAACCTGTACCAGTGAGGACTCTTTTGGTTGCAAATGACTGAAACCCCAACCCAAACTGGAATAAGTTAAAAAATAAGTGTGGTGTTTCTCAAAAGCTAAGTCAAAAAAGTGTAGTGTTTCCCAAAAGCTAAAATGCCATGAATATGCATATATCACTTATGGAATGTTTTGGCCCTCAAATACTGACACCAGGACACATTTGCTAGTCATAGCCTCATTAGCAAAAGAGCTGGTCTGCCTCCCCAGGAGACCAGAATGGTATCTCCTTGACCCTGACTGGTTTGGTTGGAAGCACATGGCCATCACCAAACCAGTCACTGTGGTCACAGAGGTAAAATGTGCCATTTTACAGAGCCAAGGCCAGAATTGGCTCTTCTTTTGCAGCCCACTAGTGCATTCAGCTTCACCTGAAAGATGGGAGCTGAGAGCTGAAAGACGTGGTTGCTATAGCAAAATCATGATGCTATGCAGGAAGAAATGGATGTTGAGGCAAAAACAGCAAATGTCCAATACATGTAGAAAAAAGTTGGAACCAGGAAGGCATGGACATTAATACTACTTCTGCACTTATTAGTATGAAGTTGGCAAATCACCTGTCTGGATTTCAGTTTTATCTCTTTAATACTGACCTCAAAATACCTATCTTATAGGGTAAATGAGTAGGGGAATGGATTTAAAATAATGAAAGAAGTAGGCTTAAGATCATATATCCAGTTACAGCTCAACAATTAAAAAGACAACATTATATTAAAACAGGCAAAGACTCTGAATAGACATTTCTCTAAAGAAGACAGACAAGTGACCATCAAGTACATGAACAGATGCTCTCTCACCGTATCTCACTGCGCACTGCTGCTGAACCCATGGTAGGCAAGGCACGAACTAGGAGGCTGAAAGAAAATGCGGGGAGCTGTAGGATCTGCAGATGCGTCTATTCTCTGCTGGCTGGTGCAGCAGCCGTAGCAGCAGACATGACAGGACATGACCGCACACAACCACAAGGGCTTTCCAGCTGGAGCTTACACATCCCTACAGAACAAAAGTAGCCTGTGGCCAAGAGAATACCGTGTGACACGCCAGAGCAGCGCCATAAGTGATCACAGCGGTTACATAATAATCATTATTACAAAACGTCGGGCAAGAGTGACGGCGTGGCTGAGGGAACCTGACCACAGCCATCTTGGCTAATTTGCTCTTTCCCTACAGATGCTTAATATAAAAAATCACTAGGGAAATGCAAGTCCAAACCACATGAGATGCTACTTTATATCTACTTGCTGGCTATAATAAAAAACACAGTAACAAGTATTGACTGGATATGGAGAAACTACAACCCTCACACATTACTGGTGGGAATGTGAAATGGTGCAACTGCTTTGGAGAACAGTTTACAGTTCCTCAAACACGTAGCTTTATCATATGGTCCAACAATTCCACTCTTATGGGTCTACCCAAGAGAACTGAAAACATGGTCACTTGCACACAGATGTTCATAACAGTGTTACCCATAACAGCCCCAAAGGAGAAATAACCCACATGTCCATCAACTGACAAATAGCTAAATAAAACACAGTATATATAAGCAATGGGATATTACTCAGCCATAAAAAAGAATGCTAAAATACAGATGAACATTAAATACATTATGGTAAATGAAAGAGACAAAACACAGAAGGCTGTATGATACCGTATGACTTCCTTTATATGTTTCTTGCCACTCACACGGGTCACTGAACCTAGGGTAGATAAGGTGCGACAGGGGAAGCTGGAAGAAGACTCGAGGAACTGTGGGGACTGCAGACAGGTTCATTATCTCCGGGCAGCAGCAGCTGGGAGTCTTCAAAGACTACTGATACACTAAGACAGACAAAGTGGCGCACGGCCAAGTGGGCGTGCAGGCCCAGTGCTACCAAGGTCAGCATCATTGTTGTTTACAGAACATAAGGTATGAGGCTGTGACAGAGTGGGGCAGAAGAGCCTGGCTGACATCGTGTTGTCAGCCACCCTCTCCAAAATATGAAGTGTCCAGAATAAGAAAAATTATAAGGATACAGATAGACTGATTTCTGGGGTGGGGGGTGGGGGGCGGTGGAAGGGGTTGGGGTATAAGAATGACTGCGGAGAGCTAAGAGGTTTCTTTTTGAAATGATGAAAATATCCTGGAATTCTGCTGCTACCTCCCAGCCTAGTGTGCTGTGCTCTCTGCCTGTCCCATCAGGGCTTTGTCTTCCTCCTGATGTCGGATTCCCTCCTTCACAGACAGTGTTTACAGCCACACAGCTTTGGGAACATACTAATCACTGTCTTGTGAATTTTACACCAGTGAGGTTTATGGGAATGCGAATTCCACCTTTGAAATTAAGGGAGGAGAGTGAAGTAGGCTTAGCACATTCTAAGTGCTCAATAAAATTTGTTTTTCCTTCTCATAAAGAATAGTTCTCCAAAGGTGGTCTCCAGATTAGCAGCATCAATATCACCTAGGAGCTTATTAGAAATGCAAATACTCCGAGGTGGGGCCCAGCAATCTGCTTTAATGACCCCTTGAGTGTGGTGCACACTCAAGCAGCTGCACCATTTCGCATTCCCACTGGTAATGTGTGAAGAATGAAGGCACAAAATAACCCTCTACCTCCCCTCAGGGGGTTAACAAGTACAGCTGACCCTGGAACAACACGGGTTGGGCACCTACCCTTTGAGAAGTTGAAAAATCTGGGCCTAACTTAATGGCTCTTTGAATCCAAGGTTCCCCTCTATCTACAGTTTTGCATCTGAGGATTCAACCAACCACCAATCATGCAGTACTGGTAGTGTTTAATATTATTTTGTTTTAATGAGAATACAAGTTCAAACCCTAGTTGTTCAAAGGTCAACTGTACTACCAAATTCTTAAGGGTAGATTACTTCCCAGAAAGTACAACAACACAGATCAGTTTAAGCTTCCAAGGTCTTAAAACCAGTCTCTGCATTCTGAAAGTTGGTTAAAAGCCTCAAGCAACATCTCAGAAGACTTAATCACTCTGGGTGTTAACCATAAAACTACATATTCATACCTATATCTATTCATATTAATATTAGATTCTTAAATGCCAGTGACAGAAACCCAATTCAAAACCACCTTAAGCCTCTATGAATGACTCTAAAGTGCCCCCTTCCCTCTGGCTTCCGGCAGGATTCTGGTGGCCTAGTCCAGGAGACAGATCCTGCATCCCGTTTAGCCCTGGTGGCTCAGTGATAAAGATCCCCCTGCCAAAGAAGGAAAGGCAGGTTTGATCCCTGGGTCAGGAAGATCCCCTGGAGAAGGGAATTGCTACCCACTCAAGTATTCTTTCCCTTCTCCAGGGGAATCTTCCCAACCCAGGTCTACTCGCACTGTGGGCGGATTCTTTACCAGCTGAGCCACAAGGGAAGCCCAAGACTACTGGAGTGGGTAGCCTGTCCCTTCTCCAGCGGATCTTCCCGACCCAGGAATCCAACCGGGTTCTTCTGCCTTGCAGGCAGATTCTCCTTCCTTAAAGGCAGGAGACCCCGGTTGGACTATATATAGTTCATGGGGTCGCAAAGAGTTGAACAGGACTGAGTGACTTTCACTTTCCAGTATCCTTGCCTGGAAAATCCCATGGACAGAGGAGCCTGGCGGGCCACTATCCATGGGGTCGCAAGAGTCGTACATGACTTAGCGACCAAACAGCAAATATTGATTCATGCCTATTGCCCCAGGCGACATTAACAGTTCCCTCTTTCACTCAAAAGGATCTTCTGGACTGTGAAGCGGTCCACCCCACAAGCAAGTACTGGGAGAGCAGGGATCCACATGCCCAGCCTCCCTCTGTTGCTTCCCCAGGCTCGTGCACAAGCCTCCGGGTGCTGCCCGCGACCCCAAGCCCACCCAGCCTCAGTGACCCCATCCATCAAGTGAGGGGGCTGCACTGGTTTCTGAGGACCCCGTCGGCTTCGGGGCTTCGTAACAACCCGCGCTGGACTCCTTTAGGTTCCCTTCGTCTTAGGCCCAAGCGTCAAAATGAGTTACCGCAGCAGACTAACACTTTTCCAGTCACCCTT